CCAGGACTGAGCCTTGTGGAATAATCACAATGATAATAGAAATAATATTGACATAGCATCTTTACTCAGATAGATACTTGATTATAAAATTTAAAAATATTAATTATTAGTAATAAAAAATATTGCCTTGCAACTCTTTAAAGTAAATTTTTAAAATCGTTATTAAACAATAAGGAAATTCATAATTATAGCTGTCATATTATATATAACAAACTAATTGCTTTTATAAATAGTTTATAAAAATACAATTATTAAACTAATACAGAAAAGAAATATTTAACAAGATAAATCTAAATATAAAAGATTAATTTTATAAAAGAAAATCAGTTCTTCTTGTTTTGGTTTTTGCAAAAGGATTTATAACGTCATCGTCATCTATATTTATGTTGATGTCTCGACGAATATAGGGAAGTGCAAGGCCTGTTAAACGATCTTCAGTCATTCTTGATCTCATCTATGACATAAGAATTCGTAATGTTTAAAAACTACGCTCTACTGGTGCAACAGAAATCGGAAGTGTTGAGAGCAGCTTCAATAAAGATTTCATGATAGGATAAGAATTTTCATTGCAATGATCATATGCTATTATGCTTTTATTTATTTCTTTAAATTCGCCATAACTAGGACTACTCTTGATTGATAAAATCTCATTGAAAAGTATCATACAGAGTACTGTTCACAGATAAGCTCAAAAAATCTGCTTAAAATTCCAAAGCCATTTATTTTGTCTAAATTAATGGGAACTAATTTGTATAAACAAAAGCACTTCATTGATTCATCCTTGAACCTGGTTTGTTTAGGAATTTTCAGCGAGGCGCGCGCGCCACCCGCGCCCCCTGTCTAAATCCGCCACTGCTTTCGAGGGGATTCAATTTATTTGGAAAACCGGTTATATAATTCGGCCATTTGGAGAAGAAAAATAATATGGTGTAAAGCTGGCATTTTATAGACAAGAAATGACACTTTTAGTGAGACAACGATAGAACAAGTAGGTCCATCCCGGGAGAGATAAGCGTAACGCTAGAGCAACTTCCTTTCATTTTTTGCATTTCAAGATCGCAGAGAACATGTAAACATCAGAAAGTGTATTTTTCCCATTTTGTCCAGCAAATTTGTAAAGGTACTCAATAATTGTGATTAATGCATGTGTTAATAGTTTCTTAAAAGCGTAGTACAGGGTGTGATTATGTTTATAGTACCGTACGTGATATTCTATACAGGGTGTCTCACGGTGACGGCCTATTAGAATTATTTCAGAGACTACTTCGATCTGAATTTTGAAAATTTGGGATCCCGGATTTTCGGGCATGCCCTTCTCAGCTAAAATAATGGCGTCCACGTACCACTTCCGGTTATACCGGAAGTCGCCATCAACTTGCTTATTTTAAATGGAACACCCTATATATTATTGCAATTTTGGATTCCACGTTATTTTAGGTGGACTTTTATGAAGTTTCCCTATTCCTAAAATTAACCGTTTTCGAGATATTTAATTTTTTTCAAAAAATGGAAATCATGTGTATTTTATAGTAAGAAAGATAAAGCAACAACATTTATAGGGGGGATGACCCCTAGGCCCCTAAGCTTCCCATCCATACTTTCAAAGTGGCTTAATTGCATACAGGGTGCTAGAAATTTAATGCCGAGTTTAGTTAACTTCAAACCTTCGTTGTTATGTAAATAAAGATTGCTGAGACAAAATGTATTAAAAATAAGAAATATTAAATTAATTTATAGAAAAAATCAAATGTTTCGCATGGCTAAGTACTTGACTTTTTTATTAAAATTAAAATTATATTCAATATGTTGGCTATTTATTTATGAAAACCCCCATAAATTACGCATCGGTGTAAAGAGAATGCTCCTTTTTTAATGAGGCAAAAATTCAATATGGCCCATAAAAGAAAAAAAAGTTAACTACCGCTTTGCACACATTTTTAGAGGTACGTTAATACTGACAGCAAAAATCAATTCCTCACATCATCAGACTCCACATTTTTGTCCAAAAACATGAAAAACAAATAAAAAACGACTAAAAAAAGAAATACGTACCATAAAATTGGTTTACTTCGAATATCGTCGGAAGTATTCGGAATTTGCTAAATTTAAAAACGAATTCGTGATCAGCATAAAATTTAGCACATTTTTGTTCTTTTAACCATTTCTTTATCTTGGACAAATAAAAAGTTGTAACCCTGTATATTACTGACTGTGTTCATTGCTAGTATACTTCTGTAATCACTAAATGCAGTAATCTGTATCTATCAAATTTTGTGGGACTATCTGTACTCGCTTTTGGGATAAAAATAATTTTCGTCGAAGTTTTTATAGCTACTTTGTGCTGAACCTACTCGTATACAAACATAGGGATCCGTGTTCACCATTAATCCGTCGATTGGAGCCCTAGGTCTAGCCGAACAAAACCATCTGCACAGTAATAAGCATATCCTGAAACTCACCGCACCATGTATCCGGCTGCTCTTAATAATAAAATTTGAATATCGCATACAGTGCAAACTTTAATGTACTCGATGTTGTCACATAAGTGTTATAGAGGTCAAATATATGCTAAATGTTTGAAATGCAAGGCGTGTTGTTGTTGGGGCGGTAATAGATGGCTGTGACTCGCAAAAGTTGTCTAAAAGAATTAAGCAGAGTTCAATGTTGCATGAGTCGAGAAAAGGAGCAACCAACAAAAAATTTTCATGATACGGTAAATTGTAACTCGACCTAAACTCAAATAGCGGGTACTAAAAATTAAAACTATAAGAGCTGAAATTTGGTGAGAATGTTTAAAACAATATTTCGTCAGTGGAGAGAAAAAAAAAAGAAATGTACATTTCTAACGAAGCACCATAAATAAGTTGTTAATACGTTGATATACATAAATAAAATAAGACTTTTTAAGGTTTAAGGTAATTTAAACTGTCAAACTTATTAAAAAGGTACGTCAGTTATAATTTTGGAAATGAAAGTACCTAGATCCATTTTCGGAATGTGCATAAAGTGAACTGATGTGTTTTTTATTTTTGGTTAGAGATTGAGATTTCATAGTTTTATAAAAACAACCTTTCACTGCTCTATGACTAGTGTAGGGGTTTGTTTTGTTTTTTTTACAGCCGAAAAATATCCAAACAAATAAGAACAAATACTAACAAATAATGGCATTGATAAAAAGTTTTAGGTTGGAAACTTTTTATAGTCCGCAGCTGTAGCTACGATAAGTTTGCTCATATTATTTTGCCATGTGTTACTTGATTATGGTTTTTAAATAATTTAACAATCAAAATATTGTTCCCTACTTACTTATTTTATCTACAGTTTTATAACAAACCTGTAACACAAAATAATTGGTTATTGTTCACGTTCTCACGATAATGTAGTTTATTTCTGTTCATTGTTTCAGAACTAAACGACAATTTGAATAAGTCGATGGGTTTTTCCAATTTTGATAGAGCTAAATAGCAACCTACTACATATATTAACTCTTTTTCCTTATATACCTAGCACCTAGCCGTTTCTGTGCACTAGTGTTTTAATGTTACGTACAAATTATGCAATATTTTATTAATATAAAGTATAACAACGATTGTGGTGCAAATGTATATCCGCATTTTTAATAATAGTGAAAAAAACTTGAAGTACTTATTGTTATATTTTTATTGAATTTGTTCTTTTTCCTTGTAATATTGCGTTGCAAATTCTAATTATATTCTAAATTATAGTCCTTTTCATATGCTATTTTCCAGATTGGATTAAAAGTACTGCATTAATCAGAAGATACAAAAATGAAATCATCTCCTGAAAATGCGTTTTACCATTTTTTAAATATTCCTCCACAAACAAATATATATACAAACAAAAACAAATTACAGACATACAATTTTTTGCGATATACCGACAAGTCTTGGAATATTAATCATGATTTTGTTCCGCTACAGAAGAGATCGTTTAACTCTTACTTTTTGCATGTGACTTTCCATTTCATTGCCACCAACGTTATTAAAATTTCATGTCCACAAAAAACTGCGGTTTTCAACGTGACGCCGTTGTGGGCATCTCGATCTGCTCTTGACTATACAAGCGTGAAAATCATAAAACTATTATTTGGTTAGAGCCCAACCAACTATTTATATTAAATGCGGTTTGATTTGGGTATTTTGTTTGACGTAAAAACATTTTTCAATAGCTGTTCGTATATAAATGAGGGAGCTCTGGATTAATAAGAATATACCTACAGGGTGTTTTCAAAATGGACACACATTATACGAAATAATTTAAAAAAAATCTAAAAATCACCCCTTTTCATTTTTTATCTCCGTATAACAAACCAAAAAAAAATTGTTTAGAATTAAAATGTGTTTGTGTTACAGATTCGATGGCAATCTTTTTTAAGTTTGCAATAATTTATCTAATAAAAAAGAAGCGAAGTTCTGTACTTAATAAATAGTTTTGGTCTGTTATCCAAAAAAAAAGAACAATATTTTTAGATATAGAAAAATATTAAAAACTACATTAGGTATTAGCACTGTCCTTAAGTAAAATCTCTCGAGTTCTATTGTATTACCCGTTTAACCTACACTCCAAAATCTAGAGCTGTTCTCTCTACATTTGGAAACTATTTAGGTCAGTGTGGTACCTAGTTCTGTAGCTCAGGATGTCGTTTCACTAATACTAATAACAGATAAACGTAAATTTGTTACGAAATTTCGTGATATGTATTTATTCTTATTTATATCGCAATAAAGTTTAAGCTGAACTGACTTTATTTTAAAAATCAGTTTATAAAAAACTAGGTACTATGTTGCCTATTTACATATTCATAGCATCGTTGATTAGTGATAGATAAAGTAATGTGAGGGAAAATATCCTTTGTTTTACCGTTAATATATAAGAAATGTTCCAAATGACAAAAGTAAATAGTATAATTGCTCCTGTTAATGTCAAATTATTACCTGTTCCAAGACGTGTATATTTCAATTTATTTTCTTTTGTTTCAGATATTATTTTGCACACTCAACACATACAAAATTGATATGAAAAAACTATTAGGCGGACAAATAGGATTAGAAGATTTTATATTTGCACATAGGAGAGGTAAAGTTGAGCACGTTTTTACTTTAATTCTTGGCAGTCCACTACAGAATTGCAATCTGTAATATTTTAGAAAGCGCCATTTTAATTTCAATTTAATAAATTTAATTTCACAAGACTTCATTTGTGTTTCATATTAGTCATACTATTGACATTTTGTTGCTTTATATTCATGCTACACTGAGAAACAATTTGTTTGTTGTAAGTATATTTTTTTGGTTATGCCTATTATACAGGGTGTAACTAAATAAGTGTAAAACATTTAAGGGGGTGATTCCTCATCGAAAAAAAGATAGGATCTTTCACATAAAGAAACTTCATTGGAGCATCCCTTGTTAAGATACAGCCCCTTAAAGGGGGTACATAAAATTTGTTTAACAATTTTTTTCACAAGCACTAAACAAGTTACAATATTGAAATTAACCTGACATTTTCTACTACCAAAAAGACACTTAGCCAGTAATTTATTTGGTTTACCCCATGGTTGTAAGGGGTGGAAAACGCAACCCCTAAAATTTATTTCCAACGTAATTTTTTGTCTTATTATTTTTTTACCATTTAAAAATTTATTTCCGATAGCCTGTTTCATTCTAAAAAAAAATGTCTCTTGAATTTTTTGCCCAAATTAAACCAGTTCGCAGCAAAAAATTATTTTACGAACAAGATACATATCGCCATAAAACGAAAATACGAAACTAATTTATCTAGTAGGCCGCCATTAGCGATACTGACAATTAAATTGGAATCAAGCTGTCAGTTTGTAAATTTTTGAAATTGAAGTAATACTAATTGTGTATTGTTCTGTTCTTAATTTGTTACTTTAATAATTCACTTGTTATTAAAATGGCATACACAAATGAGGAAATGGCTGATATGCATTACGTTTACGGTCTGTCGCAGGGGAATGGGTTAGAAGCTTCTACAAGATATGCTGAAATGTATCCTCAACGGCAGCATCCTTCACATAGAATATTTGTCTGACTTCATCAACGATTACGTGAATATGGTTCATTCAACAAAAGAACGCAGGATTGTGGTCGCCATCGAGAAGTAAGAACACCACAGCTTGAGGCAGCAGTACTTAATTTGATAGAAGAACAACCTACTACCAGTACTAGAAAGATTGCTTTCCAGCTAAATGTTGATCATATGACGGTATTTCGAATTTTAAAGGAACATCTCTTATACCCTTACCATCTGCAACGAGTACAGGCACTGTTACCGCGAGACTTTCCGAACCGTCTTGAATTTTGCAATTGGATGCTGGAAATGATTAGAAGAAATCGTGACTTTCTGAAGACGATCGAATTCACAGACGAATGTAGTTTTTCTCGGGACAAGATTATTAATTTTCATAATTACCACATATGGGCTGATGAAAACCATCACGCTATTGTCGAAACTAACCATCAAGAACAGTTTTCTCTTAAGGTGTGGGTCGGAGTTATTGGGGATTATTTAATTGGGCCTCATTTTCTACCTCCTCGATTAAATGGTGAGGCATACGTTCAATTTTTAAGAAAAGTGCATCCCCCCGTACTGCTGGAGGAAGTTCCTTTGGGCGTCAGAAGGGATATGGTTTTTATGCATGATGGGGCTCCCGCCCATTTTAGTCAAGTAGCACGTCAGCATTTAACTGAAACATATGCAAATCAGTGGATAGGTCGAGGAGGACCACAGAATTGGCCCGCTCGATCCCCGGATCTCAATCCTCTGGATTTGTCTACTTGGGGCCATTTGCAGCATTTGGTTTATCGTACTCCTGTTCGCGATGTAGAGGACTTAAGAAACCGCATTATCGATGCGTGCAGGGTAATTAGAGAGACTCCAGGAATATTTGAGCGAATACGTGGCTCAATGCGCCGACGTCTAGACGCATGCGTAATGTCTGAAGGTAGACATATTGAACATTTACTATGATTTCTACATGTTGTATGTTTTGTTATTATTAAATTAGTTTTGATTATTCCCCTTTAATCATTTAATGCAGGTAGTAACTACAAAATAACAGTAAATCCAGTCCGCATTTATGACGATGTATCTCTGTAGTTGTTCGTAAAATAATTTTTTACTGCGAACTGGTTTAATTTGGGCAAAAAATTCAAGAGACATTTTTTTTTAGAATGAAACAGGCTATCGGAAATAATTTTTTAAATGGTAAAAAAATAATAAGACAAAAAATTACGTTGGAAATAAATTTTAGGGGTTGCGTTTTCCACCCCTTACTACCATGGGGTAAACCAAATAAATTACTGGCTAAGTGTCTTTTTGGTAGTAGAAAATGTCAGGTTAATTTCAATATTGTAACTTGTTTAGTGCTTGTGAAAAAAATTGTTAAACAAATTTTATGTACCCCCTTTAAGGGGCTGTATCTTAACAAGGGATGCTCCAATGAAGTTTCTTTATATGAAAGATCCTATCTTTTTTTCGATGAGGAATCACCCCCTTAAATGTTTTACACTTATTTAGTTACACCCTGTACATATATGTAATATCATACTTTACTTATAAAGAACATTCTGATATCTTTAATGGATTTCAAGTTGACTAATTTGAATTTTTTTCTGAAATACATTTTCTGAAATATAAATGACACATTTTAAAGTACATCTGGAAAATGTGTAGTAATATTGAAGGAATTCAATTGTCAATTGAAAAATAAATTAAATATAATTGGGCAGTTTTATTTCAAGTACTATTGAAATATAGGGAAAATGTGTTAACATTATTTTTTATAGTGAAAGTCCATTCTTCTGATTTTTCCGAAATAAACTTTTCAATTACTTTTCCATTAAAGTTCGGTATTTCTCGCACCACACTAATTTTAAATAGAGAGCATTACTGTTAGTCTGTTTCTACAATCAATTTAAACTTTTACGATCTTTTAAAAAGCAGACAAAAAGCAATAAGTAAGTACAACATTTTAACATCACACCTGCACAAATAACTTTAATACGATAAAAAGCCGTAAATAGCTACTATTTGGTTACGGTCGGACTAAACAAAGCCCAAACTGCATAGTAAATATGCGTTACTCCCACTCCGTCCTTCACTGCTGCGTGACGGTAACCATGACCACCGCTATAGACACTTTCATTTTTTTGGTATGAAAGTTTCTAAGGAGGTGCCCCCCAGAGACCCCCCGCACCAGCCGCCACTGGTAACATTCTATGTGTTCTTATATCTCCTTTTTTTAATTTTAATTATAATAGAGCCTAATTTATATTTCATATTCTTTTATAAACTGGCTAAACTATTCGTAACGCATCATCAACCTGTCATGCGATATTTTCTGTCATGAGCAATTGCCGCGAGATATACAAACGACGTTTCCTAATTCAAATCATATCAAAGGAGCCGTTGAGTGCTTCTCATTGTTATACATTCGCTGGTATTAGTAGATATGAAAATTAGTTACAAGGTCGTGTCGAACTTTAAGTCGATACAATAATCTAATAATAATTATTGTGTTACATATAAGAACATCTGGCTGCGAACAAATAGTAATTCCGGTGCACTCTGATGTAACACAAAACAGTAACAGGACAATCAAAGTAGGTGCTGTCATTGTTTAGCGTTCAAGGATTTTATGTTTCGACGGTTGTTAAACGTTGATATGTGCTTAAAATTGCAACGAACAGTTAGACAGACCTCAGGTTTACATGAGTATATAAAATTGATACATACACACAGAGTGTCATATATGGTACATTAGACAATGTCGTTATAACTTCTGAAATAGATTCAAGGTTCAGAAATTAATCACATGTAATTGTTGTAATGTGTTATAGTGAAGAATTGTCCATTTTCTCAATGTGAGAAATTTCTAGTTAGACAAAATTAAACTTATAGTCAACCCTTCGACTGGTTCTTTTGGCTAGAAGGGTTGTTTATTATTAATTTTTTTCATTGCAGGTGTAGCGGAAATACCCAATCAAAGAAAAATGCCAGAAAAAATTAGAAATACACTTTTAAATATCATGTATTTTAACTATTGGCGTTTAATAATAATAGTAATAATAGTATAATTAATTGTCAATTCTATTCACATTTGTATAACTTCCAACATTCTATTGTGAAAGCAAGTTTTATTTTACACAAATCTCTTGTAAAAATATTACGTGCTATATGATAAAGAAGCTAATGTGATGTGTAAACATTGGGTAAATAAAAATATCACGACGACCTTGAACACATTTAAAACACTTTCCAGAGGTGTCTAAGCTGCTAAAAAAATATGCAAAAGAGCACGTATTAATTATTAATATGTTAACTGCATTCTTGCATGTTAATTTTGTTTAGCTGCACAAAGTTTTAATTTTACAAATTTCGTTTAATTATACGCATTTCACTTCATATAAAATTATAGGCTATTGACTATGTCAAAAAAAGAGAGTACAAAGGAACTACAACGTAACAGAAATTTTATTGTTTGATATGTTCAATTGACCCTAAAAAATAATAAAACCGCGAAATGCTACCTTTTAAAGGGGTGCGTTTTTGAGAACGAAGTAAAAAGGTGGTATTTTCAGATTTTTGAGTTTTACTCGAAAACTATGCATTTTTTCACTGTAGTTGTCAACAGAAGTTGTAGCAAATTGAATTTCCAGTCGAAATGAGACCTTTTGAAGTCAAAAAAATTTATTTTTTATAAAAATATGCCCAAAAAACGAGTAAAAAACCTGAAAAAATGCGTTTTTTTAATTTTGGTTTTTGGCCCACAACTTTTTTTTGAGAGGAGTTAAGTATTGGCATTGCTTCACAGAAAAAAAGTAAATATTTTTTCCTTTAAAATTAGCCTTTATAGAAGTACCTACTAATAGAAACCGAGATACATTGGATCAAAATTGGCTACTTTTTGGATTTTTGGCCAATTTTTGTCCTTTTTTGACGATTTTCGTCATAACTTTTTTCTGAGTTAATTTAGGTATATGTAATGCCATATTCAAATGAAAGCTCAAGACCTTTAAAATGGTGCCTGGTAGAAGTTTGTACAATTAAAA